CATATGAGCACCACTTCTAGTCATGGCTGCTCTACTTCCAACTCAGTTCCCTGCTAAAATGCCTGGGAAAGCACTGGAAAATGGCTCAAGTGCTTGGGCCCCTGCCCCCGAAATGGGAGACCCATATGGAGTTCCAGGCTCCAGGTCATTGTTGCAATCCCAGCCTCCCCATCTCTCTAACTGCATTTCAAATAAAATTTTAAAAAGTTTTTAAAAGGAAGCTTTATACTCTATAGTATTTACATTTTTATATTATGCTTTTTGAAATGCTTGTCAAATCTAAGATGGAAAGAATCAGTAGATCCATGGGATAGGATCTGCTGGAGGAATGGTACTATACCCTCTGCTAATGTTTGAAACAGAGAATCATTCATACGTTTATTATTATGTCTGAGCCCCTTGCACCAGCCTGATAAGCAAATACTTAGTAACCATTTTTAGGTTACCAACCATCTGGGCAAGGTCCTTGGCATGTTCAACAAGTATCAAGAATCAAAATGTCCACGAATTATAAAAGTCTGATTGGAATGAATGCAAAAATATTTAAAACAGGAAATTGATTTTTCTTTTATTAACTACATATGACAATAAAGGAAGTTCATTAAAAATGTCTTGGAGCAATGGTCTCCATCAGTGGTTCTCGGGCTTTAGTGTGTGTCAGTGTTATCTGGAGAACATTTAACACAGAGACTGCTGGGATCTGACTCATAAATCTGGGGTGGGGCCGGAGAATCTGTGTTTCTTTTTTTTTTTTTTTTTAAAGATTGATTTATTTATTTGAAAGGCTGAGTTTTAGAGAGGCAGAGAGAGAGAGAGAGAGAGATGTCTTCCATCTACTGCTTCACTACTTAGATGACCGCAGTGGCCAGAGCTGTGCCTATCCAAAGCCAGGAGCCAGGAGCTTCCTCCAGGTCTCCCACGTGGGTGCAGGGGCCCAAGCACTTGGGCCATCTTCTACTGCTTTCCCAGGCCAAGGTAGAGAGCTGAATCGGAAGTGGAGCTGCTGGGACTCGAACCAGCGCCCAGGTGGGATGCCAACACCACAGGTGGCAGCCTTACCCACAAATGCCACAGCGTCAGCCCCAATAGAATCTGTGTTTCTAAATTCCCCAACTGTTGTTTTTGCTGTTGGTTATAGACAATACATTTTGAGAAACTTGGGTCTAGTTTTCTTCTTAATGATCCAAAACCATATTAGAGAAGCTTTCTATTGGCTTTGCTAATTTTTAAAATTTCATATAAAACTATTATAGACACTATTATAGACATGAATGTTATATAAACAAATATTGCACATTCTAAAATTCAGGAGTATTCCTCCAAAAAAGTCATTTTGAGTGGACAGCCTCACAGTCATGCTCGTAAATGGAATTTTAATTTTCAATGATCAACTGGCTTTGTTATTTAAAAAGTTTTATTTTGTCACTACAATATGAGGACACTTGCCATCATATGAGAGGATTCCTTTTTTAAAGAAAAAAAAAAAACCCTTTTAAACAAATAACAGGACAGGTTTGTTAGTCTATACCTTTTTCCCTATTCATGGAAGCAACCCTTATGAACCTAATAAAGCAAACTTTTTGGTAAATGATATTCCCTTGACTGTATCTCACATGTTTAGAAGACAATGCATTCTTAAGGCTACATGAAGACTTCAAATTATTACTACATGTAATTGACTGTCCTGACCATTCTTTCTATTTTTACTCATGTTTTCATCATTATTTATTTTCATACTCTGAAAACATCAATATTATGTATGGAGGTAGCAAGCTCTTAAAAGTAGCTTTCAGGCAGGGGGGTTGGCCTAGCTGTTAAGACTCACACATTCAGTATCAGAAAGACTAGGTTTGATACCCAGCTTTGCTCTGAACTCAGCTCCCTGTGAATGCAGAGCCTGGAAGGCAGGTGTGATGGCTCAAATTGCTGGGCCCCTTACCACCTGACTGGGAGACCTGGATTGAGTTCCTGGGTCCTGGACCAGGATCCTGACCCAGCCATTACAAGCATTTGGAGAGTGAACCAGTGGATGCATTGCTATGTTTCTTGAGCTATGTATATTTCTCCCTCTGTTTCTCTGATTCTCAAATAAAGCTTTTTTGAAAAAACTTAAAATGTAGTAAATTGGGAGTGGAGATTTACCATTTCGGTAAGACTGAGACTACTTAGTTGAAGACTGAGGACCATGAAAAATTAATCTTTTATTTATTGTTTAAAGAGTTATCTATCTGTATGAAAGACAGAGCAGGGTTGGGAGAGAATCTTACATCACTGGTTCTCTCCCCACATGGCTGCAACAGCCAGAACTGGGCCAGGCTGAAGCCAGGAGCCAGGTGGGCCACCATCCACACTGCCTTCTCCCATATATTAGCAGTAAACTGGATCAGAAGCAGAGCAGCCATGCAAATATCATATTTCCCTTGCATCCTCTTTTGAATGTATCTCCTACATTGAATGTATCTCCCTCTTTCTCCCCTGGAATTAACCATTATTCTGTATTTTGAATTTAATATTTTATTATTTTTAACCGCATACATATATGAACCCCCACACCCTATGTTACTTTAGATATTTTTATTTTATATGAATGGAATAGTGCTCTGTGTATTCTACTATTTATTTTTATTACTTAATATATCTGTGAAATCCATGCATCGTGATACATTTAACTCTGTGTCATTTTCCATATAGTATCAAGATACTTGCATTGTAAAAGGAGGTAGATGGTTAATCTCTGTCTATTCCTTGAAAGCTTTTATATTTAATATTACTATTATCTTTTTAAAAATATTTATTTATTTAATTGAAAGGCAGAAAGTTACAGAGGCAGAGAGAGAGAGAGAGAGAGCGAGCTTCCGTCAGCTGGTTCACTCTCCAAATGACTGCAACAGCTAGAGCTAGGCGCTATCAGAAACTAGGAGCCTGGGGCCGGCGCCACAGCTCACTAGGCTAATCCTCCGCCTGTGGTTCCGGTACCCTGGGTTCCAGTCCTGGTTGGGGTGCCGGATTCTGTCCCGGTTGCCCTTCTTCCAGGCCAGCTCTCTGCTGTGGCCTGGAAAGGCAGTGGAGGATGGCCCAAGTGCTTGGGCCCTGCACCCTCATGGGAGACCAGGAGGAAGCACCTGGCTCCTGGCTTCGGATCGGCACAGGGCACCAGCCGTGGCAGCCATCTGGGGAGTGAACCAGTGGAAGGAAGGCCTTTCTCTCTGTCTCTCTCTCTCTCACTATCTAACCCTGCCTGTCAGAAAAAAAAAAAAAAAAAAAAAGAGCTTGGAGCTTCTTCCAGGACTCCCATATGGGTGCAGGGGCCCAAGGACTTGGGTCATCCTTTATTGCTTTCCTTGGCCATAGCAGGGAGCTGGATCGGAAGTGGTACAGGCGGGACTTGAACCAGTGCCCAATTGGGATGCCAGCACTGCAAGTGGCAGCTTTACCCACTATGCCACAGTGCTGGTCCAAGTATTATCTTTTTAAAATTTATTTATTCGAAAGGCAGAGTTACAGAGAAAGGGAGAGACAGGGAAAAAGAGATCTTCCTTCTGCTGTTTCACTCACAAAATGGCTGCAATGGCTGGGCCTAGGCCAGGCTGAAGTCAGGAGTGTGGAACCCCATCCAGGTCTCACACCTGGGTGCAGGGGCCCAAAGATTTGGACCATCCTCTGCTGCTTTCCCAGGCACATCAGCTGGAAGCTGGATCAAAGTGGAATAGTGGGAACAGGAACCAACATCTAAATGAGATGCCAGCATATTTTCAGACAGTGGCTGAACATACTGCAACACAATGCCGGCTTAGTGTCTTTTTCCTAAATATTTTGTGGAAGTCTCCTGTAAAACTATTCTAGACCAGATTTTTTTTGAAGATTTTAAATGACTGATGAATGACTTAGGGATTCATTGACATTCATAAAAAGCACTCAGTTTGGGCCTGCTCCATCTGTCTATAAGTACCTTCTGTCTTTTTAATTTCATAGAGACAACTGCATCCCCCCTCCTCCTTAATCAGCATTTCCAGGTGATAAGAAGTATCAATTGTTTTCTTTTCAATTTGCCACCTTTCAGTCTCTTTTTTATTTTGGTTTTCTCTTTTAATGACTTCTATTCTGATGTTTCTTTCTTTTATATTTACTTTTGTATTGTTTTGTTCTTTTCCTCAACTTTGAAAGTTGGAATCTCAACTCATTAAATTTTACCATTTCTCTTTGGTAACATAAATACTTAAGGTTATAAATTTCTGTCTAACTATCTATTTAAGCATATAGCACACATTTTGATATTATTCATATTAATCTACAGTTTAAAATGACATTATGGTTTCTTCTTTAATGTATGTTTTATTTGAAAGTTCTTCTTTTTAAATATCCAAATGTCTGTATTTGTTTTCATTTTGTTGCAGGTTCTAACTGAATCCATTGTGGTTGCAGAATGTAGTCTATAATCTGCAATTATTTATGATACATTCACAATGATTTTATAACTGAGTACACGGTTACTTTCCACAGCTATTGAAAGTAGTGTTTCTTCTTCAATTATCAGGAACAGAATTCTCTGTGTGTCCATAGAATGGAGCTGTAAAAGAAGACAACTCACTCCTTTGGACAGAGGAAAATTCATAACTTTTGTCCATATTTATTTATTTCATCCTGACTGTAAGCTTGAGCTATCTGGACAAGACACAGACTTATGGGCCTGCGCCGCGGCTCACTAGGCTAATCCTCAACCTGCGGCGCTGGTACCCTGGGTTCTAGTCCCCGTCAGGGCGCTGGATTCTGTCCCGGTTGCTCTTCTTCCTGTCCAGCTCTCTGCTGTGGCCCAGGAGTGCAGTGGAGGATGACCCAGGTCCTTGGGCCCTGCACCTGCATGGGAGACCAGGAGAAGCACTTGGCTCCTGGCTTCGGATTGATGCAGCCATTTGGGGGTGAACCAATGGAAGGAAGACTTCTGTCTCTCTCTCACTAACTCTGCCTGTCAAAAAAAAAAAAGACACAGACTTATTATTCACTAAATAATGCCAAAAATAAATACAACCAGATACTAGTTAAAGCAGTAAAAAGATACTTTATTCAGTGACTACTGCCAACAGAAAAAGAACAGAGAGCTCCATTTCTAACTGGAAGTGACTGGGAAGTTTTAAGAGAGAATTAGGGAAAATGCTGAGGGGGTGTTCAGTTAAGTCACAGAAGTAAACAGGGTAGGTACCAGAGGCCAGCGGGGGCCACTGACTGGCAGTTATCTAAGTTGGGATTCTATTTTCCCATAGAGATTGGGAGACAGAGGCCCTTCCTTCGGGTTCCTGAGAAAGAGTTGTATGGTACATGCATTCACAATTGCAAGCCCTTTTTTAAGAAAGGAAAATCAGGGGGCTGTCATCCTTGAACTACACAAACACTGAATTCTCCTGGTAGTGTGAGTTGCTCATGAAGGAATTTTGAGAGATTTGAGGGCTGTGGTCATCCTATGGACACAGCCCTGTGCTGAGGGAAGCTATGCTGGAGACTGTTAATAGAGAGCTTGGGACTGAATCCTCTGTGCCATGAGCTCTGCAGTTCTCATGAGAAATCTTAGTGCTGGTTCCCTTTGCTCCTCTTCCCTTTTGGGCCAATATGAGCCCCAAAAAGGGAGAACTTTTTAGGGGAGGGCCAAAATTATGAATCTTGGAACTTCAGAGATGGTTCACCCTCCACCTCATCCTCCAAGCGGAAGAGAAATCTTTTGCTCTGTGATGTAAATAAATCCCCTCTGAGGAGGCCAGAAGAAGCTCCCTAAGTTGGTACAACACTTTGCCAAGTAAACAGCAGGTTCCACGCCCTGAGTATTTCACGATCTCTATCATGCAAACCTTTAACCCAGGTTGCCAGTAATGTTTGCTCAGAAAGTCCTGACTATACACAAATATGGACTATGAATTGCTTCCAACAGGGAGATCTCATACTTTTCTCATACGTGCCTTGGCAGCCCGGAGTCAGGTGGGGTAGCGGCCTCAATTCCATGTTACTGCTTATGTCCCTACCTGCTACAGTTGGTTATTTCTGAGTAGGTATGTGTATATTGCCTTGGATCTCAGCCATAATTAGTTTGGTATTTCTGAATTCATCTCCCTCATCCCAACTACTCCACAGCATGACATTCTATCAGCCTCCTCTTTTGTTTATGAAGGTACTGCTATGAGGAGAGTGGTGGAAGTTAGAAGTTGTAAGTAGAACAGGAAGTAGAAGTCTGTTCTCTCCCAACTCTGTTACCACTTACACTGTTTTCTGCCAAAATCTATCAGAATTTTAGGTAGCAAACAGAACCTTGAAAAATGCAAACAAATTTCCATATGAGCCAATTGGTTTTAAATATTCAAAGGTAAGAAAAAATGAACTGCATAAGTATTTGAATTGATAAAGCCAGGTTTTTATATTAGATTTACTTTTTTGTGGCATCATTTTATGTGTTTTTATCTCTATGGATAACAATGTAATAAATGCAAACTCGATAGAAACTGAACTCAAATGTGTAGACTTAAACAAAAATCACTGGAATATTCAGTGATTAATGACCAAGACAATGATGCTTCAACCCAGTGAATAAAAACAGAATGCGTACTCTAAATAAAATAAACAGCAAAATATAATTTTATTACATTAAGACAAAGTAGCATTTCTTTCCTAACCTATATTCATGATAATCACAATAAAGTTGCAAAAATACTCCAAATTTAAGGTATTCCAGTCTAGATAAAATCTAGGTGATCTACCTACTAAAAAAAAAAGGCAATACATTTCATATTGGAAAAGCTTTAAAGATAATTTTATTTTTTTACATTTTTCTTTTACATATTCATGAAATAAGTACTTACAATAATCTAATGTGCTCAAGACCTTTTTTGTTCATTTCTTCTTAGAGAACAACATACAGTTAAACTTTTAAAAATGTAGCTGCTAAAACATATTTGTTTTCCTCTTTATCTTGTGAATTTGAAATATAATGGTTTTGTTTTTGTTTCTGAAACATTTGGTGATTGTTAGTAAGATAAAAATAGTTCATTAGTTTTAATTGCAGATGAGGTCTATGTCTTATTTTTTTGGTCTGATTTATGTCTTCATAAATGAGTTCATAGTGGATTTTAGCACAAGACATGCCTGCTTTCTCAGTTGTTATTTCTGAAACATATTATTCTTTAAATTGGTAAATATTGATAATTTTATAATTGTATGTTTTAAATTAAATTTTAGCTTAGGCTCAGCAGATCTCTAATGAAGCAAATATATGCAATAATATTGAAACCGCAGTTTCTCCAGTCTACATGTTCTTGTATTTTTAATGACATCAGAATGAACTTTATGAAACCTGGGATTATTACTTGATGAATATTAATTCTCTAAAATTTGGTATGGAAAAGGTTTCCTGTCTCCTTTCAAACCAATGCAAAAACGTCATATCATTATTTGAAATGATTTATTGGTTGTTTTAAAAGGCAGAATGTCAGACAAGGCGAGAGGGAGAGAGGGAGAGAGAGAGAAAGAGAGATCGATCTTCAATACACAGATTCATTCCCCGAATGGCTGCAAAAGCCAGCCTGTGCCAGGTTGAAGCCAGGACAGGGACTCCATCCTGAGCTTCCACATTGATGGCAGAGGCCAAAGCAGTGGAACCATTTTCTGTTGTCTTCACTGGCGCATTGGCAGGAAGCTGGATCAGAAGTGGAACAGCCAGGACTGGAACAGATGCTCTGATTTAGGATTGCAGCATCACAAGTGGAGGCTTAACTTACTATGCTTGTCCCAAAGTTTCTCTTTTATTTATACTATGGTTAACATATTCTTACTTTATCATCGTGAGTTATCACTTCAAAGGATTAGTGACTCACAAGCATTAAAAAGATGCTACTGCATCTCAAATTTCTTTGCTTGTGTAATAATGTTTTAATACCAGAGAATATAGTCAGGTTCTTCAAATACATTCAAAATATATGTAAATATTTAAGGTATTAAATTTCTCAGAGATTTAGTCCAGAAAAAAGTAATGGTTTCCTAATTTAACTTGCATGAAAATTATCTGGATTATCTGGAGGACTTATATAGATCCCCTTTAGAACATTATTTTTTGTCTAATTTTTACATACATGGAAGAGATGGCATTAACTGACAAATATAACTGTAAAATATTAGAATTATGTACATATCTTATGAAAATTAGATGCTAATTAAACTCTAAAATTAACTATTGAAAGGAGTCTGTATTTCTCAGATACAGTCATGGTTTACATAAATAGTAGCTGGTTTATTTTCCTATTGGAATGTGTGTTTTTATTTGAGAAACCTACACCTGCCATTGTTGCTAAACTATGAGGATTCCTCAGAAATGTTTTCCTTGCATTCTCTTTTTATTGCTTCAGTACCTATAAGAACATACGGGAATGATAGATGCTGATTTTGAATTGATAAACTTCAATTGCTATGTCATTGATCCACTTTCTAATTTGCCTCATTCTCTCAAATTCTTTCCTGTATGCTTGTCTGTAGATATGAGATATCTTTTGGATGAGTATTAAAGTAATCTAATGATGTTCTTTTTTCCCTCTCATTTTTCTGAGGTTAGAGTGTGACAGGAAACATATTGGTTAAGTTGCCAAAATATTTACTGAGACAATTTTTATAGCTTGTTTTACAAAAACATTCTCTTTTGATTGTTCCAATTTGATACAACATTATGAGAAAAAAAAAAAAACCTGAAACAGAATAATGAGAAGAAAGCATTGCAAAATAATAAAATAGCCCAATAAATAATTATTACATTGATATGTAAATTTAAGCCATATTCTTTTTATATATCAGCTTAAATTTAAATACTTCTAAATGATTAGAAATATTTCTGGAAGAATCAATTGAAAAACTCTCAATTAACAGATACTTTAGATTGAGAGAAATGCTCTACATAGAAAAATCATGCCTGCCTTATATTGGATAGACAGATGGCCTTGGAGAAAGAATAGGCATAGATATACAAAATATAGTTAAATAAAGGGAAACATTTCTTGGAAGGAGTTTTATTCCACTTTTAAATGATGGAGCTATGAAAAATGTACCACTGAGATTATCTAAATGCAGCAGAAGTCTGTGAAAGATAGTTTAATACTTACTCTCCCCAGTCACAAAAAAGTGAGCACTTCCCAGCTTGCACATCTTGGCTTAAACCGTTGCCCCCAGTGGTGGTAGATATGCCGAGACATTGACCACCTCAGCCAAGGAAGGGTTGCATGGGCTTGAGATACTTGAACTCAGGAACTTCATTAGTCCATTATTCATTGTAATCAAATATCAGAGGCAGGCTACTCCATATAGATGACCTTCTTGCTGGCAGAATCCTTAGGTGACACATGACATCACCTAGACAGACAGGAAACATGTATATCTGTGTGTCTCTGTCACTCTGATGATAAAATGACATGGGTTCAGTCACGAAGTGATCACCCTAATGACCTTATCTAATCCTCATCCCTTACCCAAGTTTCCACCCCCAAACACCTTGTTGGATTAAGTTTCCACTCTGTTGTTACCCCACAGTTGATATTAAATTACAACACTTGAAGTCTTGGCAGACAATTGAACTATATCCAAACCATAACAGAAGACAACATCTTCCTTCTTGAGCGGATCTTGACATGTATTTCAATTTCCATAAACCATACTACCTTATAGGTTTGATACTTTGAAATACTGAAAAACCTGCTTGAGATCCCTTTTCTTGCAAAACCATCTGCTAGCTCACTCTCATCATGCCATTTTGTGCTGGTCTAGCCTCCTCATTTTTCTCCACTACTCTGCAGAGTATTTTTTAAATGATACAAGTATGATCCACAACAACAACAAAACTGGTATGACATTTGTGATAACTTACAACTTCTGTTCAATGAAAGACACTGTAAAGAAAGTAAAAAGATATGCCTTAGGGTTGAAAAAATCCATGTGATCTTTAAAGAAAACCTTTTCTTTAACCATAAGAATGCATTAATAATTACTCTGTAGCATTTCAGTTGAATGAAATACATTCAACTATGGCATTATAAATATAAAAATAATCGGAGTAGGCAGGCAGAAAGCATTATGTACTATGTGAGAAATGTTGCAAATCCCAAAATGTGTTTTTAGGACTCTAAAGCATATGTGGGAAAAGTGCATAGCCATACCTGGGAATACATAACAGTTTCGTGATTGTGTTCTTGCTCAGGTAGGAAGGAGTAGAAGGAATCAATATTAGCTGGAACTATAAAATTTCATTCCAAAAAATTTTTCAGGTTTGATATTGTCGCTCCCCCTCTTCGTGGAGGAACGACACTAAACCCTGCCTAGGCTTCACATCCGAGTCACGGCACCATTATGTCGCTCCCCGTCTTCGTGGAGGAACGACACAGGACCCTGCGCTGTTCTTTTGTCTGCTCGGCCCTCCCCGGGTTTGCTGCTGGTTCTTCCCGGGTTGGCTACTGACCCTTCCACCTCTGTGGAAGGGCGGTTCCCCCTGGCCACTTTCCCCACTTCCGCAGGGGAGCAGCACACCACCGGCCGGCTCTCTCGGGGGCTGCACAGGTGTTCCTTCAGATAGATGTTCCCCTTAGATGTTCCTGGTGCATGTTGTCTCTCTCCTCCTTTATAGTCCTCCTCCGCCAATCCCAACTCGGCTGCCCACACGCCGAGTACGCTGCTCTCCTCCAATCAGGAGCAGGATCAGCTCCTGGAGGTCATCACTCAAGTTGGCAAGAGGCAGCTGCGTAGAAGCTCTCCTCTCCCAGCGCCATATTGTGGGAGAGCAGATGCATAGAATAAGTCTTAATTCCAGTAACTCAGTCCAGTCCATGTTGCTCCCCACAGATATATTTAAAATTTTGCCATATTCACTTAATATACATTATATATATATACTAGTTTTTTTTAAATGGCAGATATATTAATATTACAATAACATAGTATTTGTGATGAGATTTTATAATGAAAGAATATATTATTTTTAAGGCATAAGTCAGTAAAGCACCACTTGTAATTATATTCCAAATAATATGGCACAAACTCATTTTCTAATTTTATATATTAACTTGAACATGAGAGTAAACAAGTGGTATTGGCTTTTTTGTGTATGGTTTATTTATTTCACTTTTCATAATAATCACCAGTTCCATCTACTTGGTTGCAAATGTTAGGATTTTATTCTTTGTTATGACTGAGTTATATACCTTTGTGTATATATACCATTTTTCTTCATCCATTCCTCCTGTGATGGGCTTATGTGTTGATTTCAGATATTGACCATTCTTAATAGTGCTACAGTAAACATGGGAGAGCAGATATCTCTTTCACAGGCTGACTTTGTTTCTTTTGGATATAGTCCCAGAAGTAAGATAACTGGGTCATAAGGTAAATTTATAACCTTTTCCATAATGGTTGTACTGACTTGAATTCTCACCAATCATCATGTTTCACTTTTCTCTATAACCTTGTCAACGTTTGTTATTTCTCGACTTCTCGATAATTTCCATTTTAACTAGAGTGAGATGATAACATCATTTTGGTTTTAATTTGCATTTTCCTGAGAGCTAGTGATAATGCTCACATTTTCATGCCTTTGTTGGCCATTTTTAGTTCTTGCTTTGGGAAATATCTACTGAGATCCTTTGTTCATTTCTTAACTGGATCAATTGTTTTGTTGTTATTGAATTTCTTGAGCCCCTGGATATTAATCTCTTGTCACGTGCATAGTTAGCAAATATTTACTTCCATTCTGTCAATTGTCTCTTCACTCCAGTGATTGTTTCCTGGCTATGCAGAAGCTTCTTACTTTGACATCACCCCATTTGTCTATTTTTACCTTCATCGTTTGTGCTTTCAGAGCCTTATCCAAAAAATTGTTGGCTATGCCAATGTCTTGGCATGTTTTCTCTATGCTTTACTCTAGTCATTTTATAATTTCAGGTCTTAAATTTAGATCTTTGATCCATTTTGAGTTTACTTTCTTACAGAATGTACAGTAAGAGCCTTGTTTCAAACTTTCGCATGTGGAAATCCAGTTTTCCCAGCACCAATTTGTGAAGAGACTATCCTTTCTCAAGGGACTGCTTTTAGCACTTTTGTCAACTAAGTTAAGTCGGTTGTAAATGCATGGGTTTATTTCTGGAATTTTATTTGTTTCTATTCCAATTTGTGTCTATTTTTATGTCAGTATCATGCTCTTTTGTTAAAATAGAACTGTAGTAGTTCTTAAAATCCAGTATTGGCCTTGGCTTTGTTTTTATTGTTCAAGATTGCTTTGGCTGTTGAGAATCTTTTTGTTTTTCCATTTGAATTTTAGGATTTTTTTCCAATTCTGTGAAGAATGTCATTGTTATTCTGAGGGAGATTGAATTAAATCTATCTATTGCTTGGGATGATATGGATATTTTGATAATATTAGTTCTACCAGCTTATGAACATGGGAGGTCTTTCTATTGTTTAAAATTTTCTTTGATTCCTTTTATTAGTGTCTTTAATTTTGATTGTAGAGGTTTATTGTATCCATGGTTAAAGTTAATCCAAGGCACATAGTGTTTTTGTAACTTTTTATTGAGATCATAGCAACGTCATTATATAAAAATGCTACTTATTTTTGTTGATTTTGCACGCTGCAACTTTGCTGAATTCTTTTATCATTATAAAATGAACTCTTTTCTCTTATAACAATTTTTGTCTTGATGTCTATTTTATCTATATTGTAATTTCGCCACTCTTGCTCACTTTTGATTTCTAAGGCAGATGTTTTATTTTAACAATGATTTATTTATTTATTTGAAAGAGTTACATTGAGGAGAGACAGAGAGAGAGAAAAAGAGAGAGAGAGAGATCTTATATCCACTTGTTCACTTCCCAAATGGCTGCAATAGAGAGAGAGAGAGAGAGAGAGAGAGAGAGAGAGAGAGATCTTACATCCACTTGTTCACTTCCTAAATGGCTGCAATGGCCAGGGCTGGGCCAAACTGGAGTCAGGAGTATCATCTGGGTCTCCCATGTGGGTGCAAGGGTACAACAAATTGGGCCATTCTCTTCTGCCCTCCCAGGTGCATTAGCAGGGAGCTGGACCAGAAGTAGAACAGCTGAGATTGAACTGGTGCCCAAATAGGATGTTGGCACTGCAGGTGGTGGCTTAACCTATATGTAACACCACAGACCCCAGAATTTTTATTTAAAAAACATACTTATATATTTTTTGGAAAACATATTTTTAATTTACCAGATAATGAAAGTCATAGTGTTCCTCTAAGTAAAAAATTCAACAAATAAAAAGTAAAAATGCAATAGTCCAGCAGGAAAATAGGCAAAGCTAATAAACAAAAATCAAACAAACAAAAAGAATTCATGTTCTCCCTTACATGTAGGAACTAAAATTTATCAGAAAAAAATCAAACAGCAAAAACAAGAAATACCTTTGTATATCACTTCTGCTGCAAATAATGTTTAAAATCTTTGTCAAAATTTTGTTAAGAATTGTGTGCTACTATTGTATTGATGATATTTTAAATTTACATGAGTGAAGAACTAAGACAGATTTTTTTGTTTATCACTAAATTATTGTTTTCACTGGACATCAACTTGAAGCACAAGATTTGATCCAGTGTGGCCTGTACAAATGAGGAATTAGTTAACACTTTCACCCACTACTTCTCATAGGTAATATATACATTGGATATATTATATACAATTGGAAGACATAGAAGGGTCTACTTGAAAATGCTAATGAGTAAGCTTTGGTGGCATTGGAACTTTAGGTGTTCAGATAAAACAAGACCATGGATACTCCTGACCTTCTTTATGTGAATAAGTTGCTGCAACAACTGGGTCTTGGCCAGGCTGAAGCCAGGAGCCAGGAGCTTATCCAGGTCTCCCACGTGGGTGCAGGGGCCCAAGGATTTGGGCCATCTTCTGCTACTTTCCCAGGCCATTAGCAGGGAGCTGGAACAGAATTGGAGGCACTACAGGTGACAGCTTAACTCATTGCACCACAATGCCTTCCCCAACATTTCTTTAAGTTTTAAACTCTTCTATTAGCCTTTAAAGTGGACATTATTATTATTCTATGTCCTTTTGCAGGAATCTCTGCAAGCTTTATGTTTATTGCCATTTCACACATCAGAAAGGATTCTCTAAAAAGACCCAGAAATGACCTGGGGATCACAAGAGGCTCAAATTCTGTGTCTTATTTGGTAACTGATATGTATTATGATATAAATACATTTTTTTAAATTTATTTGACAGGTAGAGTCATAGTCAGTGAGAAAGAGAGACAGAGAGAAAGGTCTTCCTTCCATTGGTTCACTCCCCTAATTGTCACCATGGCCAGCACTGTGCCAATCTGAAGCCAGGAGCCAGGTGCTTCTTCCTGGTCTCCCATATGGGTGCAGGGGCCCAGACACTTGGGCCATCCTCCACTGCCCTCCCGGGCCACAGCAGAGAGCTGGAAGAGGAACAACCGGGACTAGAACCTGGCGCCCATATGGGATGCTGGCGCCACAGGTGAAGGAATAACCAAGTGAGCCATGGCACCGGCCCCTCAATAAATATTCTTGGAATTTAATGAAATAATTATACAATTTATGCCTAAAATTACATACATTTCTTTAAGAATCCTCTTGATTGAACTCAGAATAATTTCAGAAATGCCTACAAAACTTGAGTCTTGTTTTGTAGAAAGGTTTTCACTGATTTATTTAAACTTAAAAATGTTTAAAAAGAGACTATCATTCACCAATAAATATTAATTACAGAAAAGTATAAGGGGATGGGGCCAGGGCCATGGCTCACTTGGTTAATCCTCTGCCTGCAGCGCCAACATCCCATATGGGCACCAGGTTCTAGTCCCAGTTGCTCCTCTTCCAGTGCAGCTCTCTGCTGTGGCCCAGGAGGGCAGTGGAGGATGGCTCAAGTGCTTGGGCCCTGCACCCGCATGGGAGACCAGGAGGAAGCATCTGGCTCCTGGCTTCGGATCAGCTCAGCGCTGGCCATGGTGGCCATTTTGGGGGTTAACCAACAGAAGGAAGACCTTTCTCTCTGTCTCTTTTTCTCACTATCTATAACTCTACCTGCCAAATTAAAAAAAAAAAAAGTATAAGGGGACTTAAATCCATTATAGAGTCTCTCTGGAGTTCAATGGATCTGCATTATCCTACCTGTTTTGCTTTCCTGATCTTCAATTTGGGAAAAGTTACCATTTTTTGGTTTCTTTAGTTTTCACCTTTCATAATCAGCAATGAATACAGAGAGATGATGTCAAAGAAACTCTGAAGCTAAGTATCCTTTACATCGTTAGACAGATCATGTGGCAAATTAATTTAGAATTTAATAAGTACAATCTAAGTTTATAGTTTCTTCCTCGATCATTTATTATCTCTGTGTTCTTGGTTAAAGTTTATAGCGCCTATGAAAATTTATGTCAAAAATTAAATTAAGTGAACTATATAACTGTGTTTTTAAAACACATACAATTCTGAATAACCATAGGCTAAAATTTTTTAGGAACTTTAAATATGTTTGTCATCCACTAATGGGTCCAGACCTTGAACATTCAGAAATTACTCCCTTTATGGACATTAAAGCTGAGATGCCCTGGGTAGACAAAACTTGTATGCAAGACGAGACACAAGCCATTGAATACAAGTGCCTTAATAACTACATGACTGTCAAGTTGCCTCATTCCTTGTAAGGTTCTTTTGTGTTGCTATTTGCTATTCCTCATTTAGCTATTTCTTGCTGTTCCATGCACAGACTCTAAATCTTACTAATCTATATGAAGTTCTTGATGATACTTTACTCTGACATGTTAGCCTACTTACTCACATCCAAAGGGACTCTCACTCTGAAGTTAGAACCTAACAGATACTGATAAGCATTTAATCAGTCAGGTAGAGAGTATGATATATCAAGAGAAATTTCTTAATTTCAAGTTTGTTCTCCTGGCATACTCCAAATGATTAAGACATTTCAATTTGATACAATTCAAAAATTTTATAGAGATCTTCTTAATATCAGATTGATTTTAATTTAAATGTTTTGATAGTTAAGTTTTACAATATTGGCTAAACATCAATATTTGAATTCACAGATTAAGTAAAGCTGATTGCTCTCCCCCATTATTCAATCAACTGGAGGCCTAAATAGAACAGAAAGACTTAGTGAAAGGGAACATTGCCAGCCTGGTATGCTGGTCCATTGGTCGACCTCCTACCCTCACACTGGGATTGACACTACCAGTTTACCTGGTCCTTAGGCCCAGAACACAGCTTTCCTGGGTCCCTGGGTCTTCAACTTGCAAAAAGCAGACCACAGCACTTTTTAGCTTCTGTAATCTTATGAGCCAATTTTTCATGGAATAAAACTCCATAATCCTGAAGGAATTCCTACTGCTTGATATCTCCTTGCACTTATTTTTGAGTACAGTATATATTACATCTTCCATGTCCCATCTTTGAAATCAAGATTTTGTCTCTTTTTTATGAAACCACATCAACCCAGCATGTGCTGTCTTCCATATATCACTCTCAAAAGATTCTGTTTATTTTCAGCTAACACACCTACACCTGGAAACCTAGGCAAGGGCTTGATCATATGCTGTCTGACTTGGTTGCTGACATGTTCGGAGTAGCGTGAGCCTTATTATTCTATTTTATATTCTCCATAACTCTTAGCACTATCCTAAGTTCTTCTGTTTTAAAAATAAATCTTATTAATGTTTGAAAATGTTAATGATGTGACACTAACTCTGAAAGACAAGATACAAAATAGTACATACATAAATATTTTTCCAATTAGTGATAACAAATTTATGCACCTACAAAAACAGAAAAACTGAAAGGAAATATATTAAAATGAATGTCTAGCTTTATGGTGGTGTTTTGGGTATTTTTTTCTTTTTATATACATTTTTGTATTCTTCTATTTAGATTATAAGAAGCTATTATTAACAAAAATATCTTTTTTAAAAGATGTTTGACTTATTTCATTGGTGTCTCTAAATTGACCTTTGTCATATATGTATTTATACAGAGGAGATTTTAGCAAGCTCATAATAAGAGGTTACATCACTGGAAAAAAAAAAAAAAAGGAAATTAGAGGAAACAAAGACCTGAATCAGATAAGTTCTTTTTTCTCAAAAGAATTTGTTTTAAAGCATGATTACAGTACCATAACTATTGTTCTATTTGTAATTTTGAGTATATTATAGGGAATAAAAATTGTAATTATATGAGCCATTAAACCATTCATAAAATATATATGATCTATCAATTTTTTCATTCTCTTTAGTATTAGACATATACTGCTATTGTACAGCTGTTCATAGTTTTCTAAGAATTACAATTTCTCTTTGAATTACTAATGAACATGCTGTATTAATTAAGACTATGATTTTGGGGTTTTGCATATATTTGCTTATTTAATTATTAAACTAAACCTGCTATGTATGGATTAAATGCCAAATTCCAAGTGAAGAGAACTGTAGTTAAAAGCTATAGTAATGTAACAAAATTACATGGCAAAATATGACATGGAAAGGATGCTACATGAATATCTGATATCCTCTTGCATGAATTAGGAATTTGCCACAGTCTTGTGTTGCTACACACTTTTCCTACAAAAGTGGAATGGATAATTTAACAAAATATATCTGCTCATGCTATGAAATTTAAAAATATTCCTGCATTGATTCTCATTTTATACTCCTTTCATAATACCTGGAGGATTGTATCTACCCTAAATAATTATTTTATTTATTTATTTAGAGACAGAGGAAAAATAGCCCTATGTGCTAGTTCATGGTGTAACAGACATAACATCCAATTAAGAAAAGAGGAAATGGGACTGACTGGCATGATGGAGCGGTGGATTATTTTACAATAGTATAGTGAATGAAAAAAATTAGAATAATTAACAGAAAATTACACAACTTAAAATGACAATAACAATCTATAAATAGGATTAGCAAGGTAAGGAACAGTTAAGATCCTCAGTGATTTCCTGAATCAGTTGAAAATTTAAAACATTTTCATGCCAAATAATACTTGCTATATTTTTATAGCATAAGGGTGTTCATTTTTTTTTTTAAAAAAAGTATTTATTTATTTGAAAGCTAGAGTGACACAGAGGGAGAGACAGAGAGTTCACCCACCTTCTGGTTCATTCCACAAATGGCCAAAACAGGCATGACATGGCTAGTTCAAAACCAGGAACTGGGAACTCCATCCAAATCTCCCACATGGGTGGTAGTAGCCCAAACGCTTGAGACATTTTCCACTGCCTTTCCACGCATGTTAGGAAGCTGGATCCAAAGTGGAGTAGCTGGGACTTGAGCTAGCACTTCAAAATGGAAAAGCAGAATGTCAAGCTGTGGCTTAACACATTGCCAACCCCTAATCCTTTATTTTTAAGACAGATATTTATGATTACAAGTAAGCATTTTGAGCAAAATGATATCTTTTAGATACTGTCCCAAAAATGCCCCATAAATATTTCTAGTTATTTAAGTAAAATTGATTTCTAGATCTTCTGGATCTCTGATTTTGGGTTCTTGGCTAATAAGGTAAGATGGGCAACAGGTATTAATTATTGCATGAGTCTCAAAACGTTCCCCCTCAGTTCCCAACCTTGGCCTTTAAAACTGTAGAGGCTTTGTTGTTGCAGCAACTGCTGTGTCATGCAGTGGTGGGCAAAAGGGAGAGAAAAATACACAGAGCAGGCTTTGATCCTTTCTTGAAAATGCGAACAGTGTCTCACGATAGAGATAGAGATGAGAAAGGGACAAAGTCCAAACTTACAAAGAGAGAAAGAGAGAGATGAGAGGTAACCAACACGATGGGGAAAGAGGGTGCTAAGAGAGCTGCTTGTGTAAAATCAGCAACCCATTGAGTTACTCTCCAAGAGAATGTCATAAAAGCTGGTATTATTTACAATCTATCTTTGGGAATACTATATTTCTCTGAATGTGACACTATGTAGGAAATGTACCAAGCAAACTGTTTACATATGGAAGGATAAACGATGACCTTATTTCACAGAAAAAATCATGTTAATAGTGGTATAATATTAACTGCTAAATTGAGTATCTATCATCCAAATGTCATCATCAAATATCTCCATTTCTACTTCCAAACAACTCATATATGACTATTTCTCATCCCTTACTCTTCTAGCTGCTGAAAGTCTTAACCTGTCACTTTAATGTTCTTGATATTCCAGAGTAGCCAGTGACTCTTTTCAAATGTAAATCACTGGGCCCAGCACAGTGGCTCACTTGGCTAATCCTCCAACTGTGGCGCCAGCATCCCATATGGGTACCAAGTTCTAGTCCTGGTTGGTCCTCTTCCAGTCCAGCAATCTGCTGTGGCTTGGGAAAGCAGTAGAAGATGGCTCAAGTCCTTGTGCCCCTGCACCTGCGTGGGAGACCTGGAAGAAGCTCCTGGTTCCTGGCTTTGGATCAGCGCAGTTCCAACTGTAGCGGCCATTTGGGGGGTGAACCAATGGTGGGAAGACCTTTCTCTCTTTCTCTTTCTTTCTCTCTCTCTCTCTCACTGTCTGTAACTCTACCTGTCAAATAAGTAAATAAATAAACAAATAAATGTAAATCACTCTACATCATTCTTCCAACATTAATCCTACAATGGCTTCTCATCAAACTCAGTAAAATCCTCACCAAAACATTTAAAACACTCCCCTGCCCCCAGCATAAACCAATTCCTTCCGAACTCCACATTTATTTCCATCTTGGTACTTTGTACACTGAGTACCTAAAACATATCCCTGGCCCCTCAGTCTCTCAATCCCTGCTCTTCCTTTTTTTTCTTATAAAATTCATCAATATTTAAGACTATATCTTATCTTTATTTATTTATTGTCTGTATCTCCTTCCAAATGATGAGGAGTCTTCACACTATTCATGAAAAATGCATGTTCTGAAAAAAATGCAAGAATTCTAAGTATTTTTTGCAGAATAAGCTTATTTCATTTCATCTATCCCCACATTTTTGGAAGTACCCCTGTATAAGTCTATAAGGGCCAGAGCTTTGCCCTGCACACAGTGCTGAGACAACTACTAGATCAAAACTTTTCATCCTAAGTTTAAATAGATGAATGGGTGGTTAGTACTCATTTAGGAAAATATTCTGACCATATAAATTCACAAGATCTATTATGTTCTAGGTATTGTGATGAACACCAGGAATATAAAAACACAACACGAAAATTGCCTTCATGGAGCTCACTCTGCAAGAAAAGCAAGAAAGCAAATACAGGCATCAAATAATCAATGACAAATATTCAATTACATCTCTAAGAAATAAAACTCAAGAAAAATAATCAATTCAAGTTGAACCTAAATTAAGCTTTAAGAATATAATTAACTAAAACATATTGATTGTTCTGTAACATTTGCTATTTTTACTCTTTATTGTACTTTTTGTCAAAGAAAGCAGTAGACATGCTGTGATGATGTCAGTATGAGGAGAAAATGAGATGGAAAACTTGCTAAAAAATGAGACAGACGGTGTGGGAAGATGATGTATAATTATGTGCGCGTGGGCAGCCCACAATTCATCCTTCTTTACATGCTTCAGTGGGACACAGAGAAAGACCTCAGTTTATGAAGTTCCCCACTGCGAGCCCCAGATGATTGTAGTCTTAAATACACTAAAGACCCCATCACATCTGATCATTCATAAAATGACTTGAAAGATTTAGCATAATTGTAATGAAAAGAAATAGTTCTCAAGTAATTTTTAAATATCAAAAATTTTATACATGCATATTTAAGAATATCCCTCTCTGGCCTCAACTTAGATTCTGAATTAGTTAGGAAAAAAATGGTTAGCCTCATCAGATATACTTTATTCACTATTTTGCATGTTTCCAGATGATATATACAAATATAGTTTTGGGCCAGGTGCTGTAGTGCAGTGGGTTAATCCCCTGGCCTGAAGCACAGGCATCCCATATGAGTGCCTGTTCTAGTCCCAGCTGCTCCTCTTCCCATCCAGCTCTTTGCTATGGCTGGGAAAGCAGTAGAAGATGGCCCAAGTCCTTGGGCCCCTGCACCCACGTGGGAGACCCAGAAGAAGCTCCTGGCTCCTGGCTTCAGATGGGTGCAGCTTCGGCCATTGCGGCCATCTGGGGAGTGAACAAGCAGATGGAAGACCTCTCTCTCTCTCTCTCTCTGCTTCTCCTCTCTCTGGGTAACTCTGACTTTCAAATAAATAAATAAATCTTTAAAATATATATATATATATAGTTTCTTAAAACTCTTACTGAAACTTTTTAATAAGATAAATGTGTGCCTAACAAATGATAATGTAATATCTTCAGGCAGCTTTATCCACTATGCCGCATCATTGGCCGCTAGAAGTAATTTTTAATTTTAGTTACTAATCCTATGTAAATACCTACATCTAAATGTTTTCTAGACCATGTCTGGGTGTTGTTCTTGGGCTGCTTCTAATTTTGAAGAAGGAAGAACCCAAGTGAAAACACACATTTCTTCAGTGCCTTACTGTCATTACTAGAGCTTTTTTGCTGAAAGGCCCCCACAAAACACACCAAACTCCAGAGTAGGGAAAAGAGTTTATTGATGTGGGGAAACCTGACAGGCTGGAAGGAGAGAGTGGAAAAGAGGCCTGTGTATAATAGCAGGCCCTGTTTATAGCTTTGCAAGAATGGAATGGGAACAGCAAATCCTGTTAGAATGGGGGTGGGGTTGCCACTTATGGTTGGGCCATTCAGTCACCTGACACCTAGTAAGTCAGGCTGGGTCCTGGAGAGGCCAAACTCAGTGTACAAGGTGGTCACTGGGCTGGAGCCCAAAATGACGTCTAGGGCTTGAGATGGTGCCTTAGATAAGATGGCACCATTTCACTAACATGCATCCCTTTTGTTGTTTATAAAGCAAGTATTGCATGGGATTATGTTGGCCCTAAAGGCCCAGGAGGGGTGGAGGGATGATGATCTATCTTCTAAAGCTACTTCCTGCTGACATAGGGTGACGAGTCACTCTCCACTGGTGGGGCAACACTTCAAGTTGTGATCTCCAGGATGGGGAGCCCAGTATAGCCGTGTAATAGCATTTGATTGACTGCCTGGTTGCTAAAGGCATTGGTTCATTCCTTATCACCTCCTGTAAACACTTAAGCACACAAAGTAGTATAAAAGCCAGGGTGAGAATAGTAGCCAATGGCATAGGAGTTGTATTAACCAAGTGGTGAGGGGACTCCATAGGGAAGAAGAGAAGAGAGACTTTTTCACTTAGGGTAGACTGTTTTATAGATGTGGCTATTTGTTGGAGCTTTTTAAAATTTTGGTCTACCTGGCCTGATTAATTAACATAATAACATTTTTTTCTCCCAGAAAAACGTAAGTTCCCCCTTTTTCAAGTGTTATAAGGTCCAGAGCTTGCTATTTTCTAACACTACATCTGCCAGTGAGGTGATCTGATTTTGAAGGCCCGGAATAGCCTCTGCTGAAGTTTCAATGGACTTGGTGACCTCCTCTTGTAGTTGTTGGAGTTGTTCTTGGAACTGTTTCGCAGAAATAACATTGTGGCCTAGAGCAGTTCCTGAGAGCACCATTGAAGAGAGGGAAGCTGCAAAGCTGATTCCAAACAAGGCTGGGAGAAAGATCACTCGTTTCTTACAGGGTAGAGGAATTAGTCTGTAAAAGAAACTCTGAGTAGTCCTATAATGTTAGATTGAGGGAATGAATTACCAGTACACATGGACTGGGTGTAGAACTGTTGATGCAAGTGTGTAAGATATAATTTCAAAGAAATGAAGTTCCAGGTGGGCTAGAGTGGGAGGCTACGGAAGTGAGGGTTATATTGATGACACAGGGAATGTTTGGTGACAAAAGCCCATTAGGTTGTTCTTCTGTTGGTAATCCAACATTTTGCATCTTGTCCTCCTGAATGTAGAGGAAGATGACAGGTGATTTTCTGAGAATTGAGGGTATAGGAGTTTGTAGAAGTGGAAACATTAGTATGAAGGGTAGCTGCAATGGAAAATTCCCCAAGGGGGGCACATATAAAGCATCGTTGTTGGTAAAGGACCAAGGGTAAAGTAGAGTTGATAAAATAGGGTGAGGGACAGATTGATAAGTTGTAGCCATGTTAAGGGAGGTTTGGCTGGGTTAATTAGCTGGACAGGTATTTAGGGAACTCCTTTACTATATCAACCAAAACATCCATGGGAGCTAAGTGTAGACTCTGATGATTTTTATGGTTCCTTGGTGATCTCACATGTTAGATCCCGTGAACAAAGAGACAGATCTCTCAACCCCATCTTGCCAGGCCTGAAGGTAGTATTCAGTTATAGTGAAGG